TTCTTAAAGTAGCATTAGGAATGTGCCTAGATGCTCCATGTTCCAATGCATAAAATATACTATACAGAGTAATTATGGCAGGTGTTCAAGCTCTTGCACTAAGTCAGATGCCCTTCGCATTGTGTCTGATGTTCTGTGAGTAGCACTCACACGCATGGACAGGGTAGAAAGCTTTGCACGGCATGTAGAAGCCGTGCCACCTGTGGAATGACTGGGAACATCAAAGTCATTTGCCCGGAGAAGAAAATTCAGGACATCAGAAGGTGGCCACGTGGTGGGAGACAGAGTGGATGGAAATGGGGAATCAAAGTAGAGAACTTTAGAGCACCATTTCCCAGACAGTAGTCCATGGACCATCTAGAAGCAAGAAAAAGGGGGGTTTGGTCAAAAAAATTTGGCAGATGCAGAGCTTAAACATCTGATTTCTGTAAAAGACATCAGTGCCTTTATGTCAGTAAAATGTACTGTGAGATTCTAAAAGGAGGATAAGAATATTTCTCATTCAATAAACATGCACCAAGTGGCTACAGAGCACCAGGCACTGGGGACAATAAATCAACCAAAGAGAAATAGGCAAGGTAAGGAGAAAGGGCAGGAAACAAACCACAGATTGACATCGTCTAAACCAACTGGTCCACAGATCCACTGTGTAATGAAGCAGCCCATCATTCTTCTTTCTTGGACATTCCTGAGAAAAAGTGAATTAGAAGGATCTTATGCTGAAATAGAGTGCTCAGCACTGAGACCATGTAAACTGATTTACAGTGTTAATAGAGATGCTTTACAGGGCGTTTTGAGATTGGAATGTGTGATCCAGAAGTGTTTTTGACTCATCAAAACTGGATGTTTCAGATAGCACACCATCCACCTGAAAACTTGCTGGGAAGAATTTATTTGAGGTGACAAACTGATTGACAAATACCAAAGTTTATGGCTATCCATGAAGTGATAGGACTTGCAGGAAAAGCAGAGTTTCCGTGGGTACATAGACAAAGATGAGTCACAAAGGGAAGCCTCCGAGTCATAAAACAGATGATAAGCTTTTTGGGATTTGTGACTTCCTTGAACCTCTCAAATGCGGTTTACAAGGGGCTATCCAGACAGTCTGATTGTAACTTGCACCAGAGCCCCCAGACTGTCAGGCAAGACCTTATCTTCAGAAACTTGGGTTCAGAAGAGACTCTGGCTCTCACTTGTGCTTTGATCTGTCTTAGGGAGGGAGGAAGTATTTTCTGAAATACCTGAGGACAGCATGCATCCCTATTGGGATGAATCTAGGGGCTGTAATATCTTTTCTTGTGAAGAAACTAAGTCATAAGAGCCCATCTCAGCAGCAAACTTCGACATGTCTGCTGCTCTCACGTGACCTCCAAAAGATCTAAAAACAAGCAAATAAATAGCATTATTCATTTAGGACATTATATATTTGTAACATCATTCATAGCATTTATAATGATGTCCATAATATCATCTATAACATCATCACTCTAATCTGACCTCCCAAATATCAAAAAACATCAGCTACATAAATACATATGCATATTTATTATTGTGTATAAACATAATAATGCTTCAATTATACATTGAAAAATATATTCAGTATATGTATTCAATTACATATGTTATTTTCAATCCTTCTGATGGCATTTCCCATTTCCTTTCATTTTATCTGTTTGTTCTTTCTGTTCTCTAGCCAATTGCATAAGTTGTTTGTGTGAAAGAACTGTCTCAACAGTTTGGAGGTTAATTTAAGACTGGAATCATATCTGTACGCTTTTGCTATTTTTCTAACATGATCCCAGTCTAGCTCACACTGGTGCTGTAAGTCTGAAAAAGAGAAAGCCCTGTTCTATTAAAAATAGCTCATTCCAGTATGACTCTACGTAGACAAGTAAGACATTTATGCATTTCTCCAATACTGCTTACGAATGAATCACTCTGAAACTAGTGATGCATGGATTTCTGGTATTAGCATCATTATCTCACTGAAGGTGAACACCTGGCCAACTCTCAGTGATCAGTGACAATGGAAAGAGAGGGGTATCACAGGCAATCTCAAACCATAGTCACCCCCAAAGTCATCTACGCCTTGCAGTGCATGGGGGGTTCAATGAAAGCAGATGATTTCCCGATGTCGCCTCCTAATTTCAATTTGCTTGCCTTCTGGAGTTAGTGCTGGTCATCCCTTGAGAATATGTGCCCTGAAGGAGGAAGGTGGGTGCTAGAGAATTGGTGGTCAAACAGCACACGTGATTGTCATATGTAATTGACAGAGCAAGTGGTTAGGGAAAAAAGATCATTGAGAATGACGACCTGCATTAAATACTAAGGATACACTTAGAAGGCAAAAAGAAAAAATAACTACTTGGGCAAGAAAAGAATTTTCCACCACCACATCATTGACATTTTGATGAGAGGGATTTTTCCCCAGCTGTTAACTACAACCTGGGATGAAAGAAAGAGAGGGGCTCCCAAATTTTTCTCCCATTTGAAACAACCACACAGACAGCCAATAGGATGTGATAAGGAGTCGGGGCACTCTGAAAAAAGGGGGTGTGTTATTCCATGCCCTCTAGAAGTGGCCAATGATAGCATCCTCCTTCTCTGAACGGGGTGTTATAAACCACAAGCAGCCATAAAGCAGGGTCCATTCCTAATTTCCAAATGTCTCCTACAGTATCAATCCCTGACAATGTTTTTCAACAGTCCACATCAGTTTGAGAAAAATAAGGGCAACGTAGCAAGTTATTCATTAAATTAATTGTACTCACTGTAAAGGACTATCTCTTATTCTGAGATAATATCATTCTTGTTAAAAAAGAAAAGTGCCCTTTCTTGTATGAAATCATAGTTATATTAGAGCACTGTGTTGTAGTAACTGCTGCTACAGCTGCTGTTGCTGCTGAAATTTAAACAAATCAGTCCCAAAAATATTTTTTTGAAACTTCCCTCTTCTGTGAAATCCAAAGGTTTGGGAGCCACTGAAGGCATCAGAGATTGGAGGAGTGGATAAGCTCAATTTAGTTCAAAGAAGGAACACCGTAAGCAAAGTAAAATTTCAGGAAGTGATAGAGATGCCTAAGTGTGAATGTACAGAGGTATCATGGTGGATTTGTCTCTAGCTATTAGACCCCAGCTCCAACCACTTACCAGGGAGCATCCTGGCATCCCAAAGGCAGAACGTATGGCCTGACAAGGGTAGCTGCAGTGCCCTTCCCACCTCCTTTCCAGGATAGAGAACTAAGTTTTGACATTTTCCAAGTTGCATAGAAAGAATTTCCACCCAGGAAACCACTGGGAAATCCACCAAGTGGCTATGTGTCCACCTCTCTGTTCTCCGGGATGCCACACTAATGGCATTTAATCCCAGGTGTTTAGCCCTCTGGCCCCTCGTGGATCCTGCTGTTCAGTTTTCTGGAACATTTGTCCCTGGTTTCTTCTCTCAGCTCCAGCCCTTCCCCCACTAGCATCCATTCTTGTCTCTGGAGTAGTGTCCTTGGTACTCAGTGCCCTAAGACTATACACTTGGCCCTCTCATGTGGCCACATACACCTCCATCTTTAATCCTGGGGCTGGAGAAGAGGGTTTCAGTGAATTCTACCAGTGACAAGCCCTCCAGTAGCATTCTTTAGAGTCCTCGAATTTATGTTACAGTGAGTACCTTCATGAGGTTAAATGAAGGGTCCAGCAGACCATAGGAGTGAGCTGGATGGGGTTACAGAGGCCAAAGGCCCTGACTCCAGCTGTGGTCCTGGAGCCAGTAGATCTGGCTCAGCTGCAAAAGAGCATGTCTCTCTGAGGCGCATCACTACCTGAAGGTTTGGTCAGGAGGGTCTCCAAGGTCCTCTTGTCTCTGCTCACAGACTGCCATTGGACGGCTCCACAATCTAGCCTGTATTCTAAACATAGTCAAACTGAGAGGCTGGCAGAGAATAGCAGGTGCACTGGGTATGCACAGCGGCAGGCAGTTTTCAGTTCCCCACTCACTCTGCAGATACATCTCATCTTATGCTCCCCTTGAAATCTCTTGGGGGATGGGATGGGCTTTCCTGTCTGTGTCCCTCTAGGCCCAACTCACACTTTTTTTAATGTCAAAAAAAAACTGTTTTGAGTTGGAGCTGTGAGTGAACATTACAGTTAGTGAGATCCAGACAGTTGATCTTCTCACAGCTACTGAGTCACCAGGAGACAAGGTCCCCCTGCCAAGGCTGGTGCGACTACATATGGAAATGCAGTCTCTGCATCCATGTACCCATATCCAATTACCCACCACGGGGGTTGTGCCTTTCCCCACCTCTGTTGTTTAACCCTGTGAAATGGTGGGAGGCTACAACTGCTTGCATTTTTTGCCTAGAGGAAATTACACACATATATCTATATAAAGATATAGATATATAATGGTCTGTGCTTCAGGGGGAGGGACATCCTGGTGAAGTATAAACATTTAACCATTTTTATCAAGTTTAAGAAGCAGATCCTGGCACATTTGGCTGTATGTCTATAAGGAATGTCCAAAAAAAATGCAAGCCATGGAACCCTAAGTCTCTCTCCCACCATTCAATGGAAGATGACAAGAAATTGTGGAATCTACTCTTTGAAGATGATCATTTTTGTGGGCACTTGAGATATATTTGCTTTCTGTTGTTTTATTTTATTTTATTTTATTTTTTTAGTTTTCTTTCTCTCATACCTGGAATGTGCCTGGTTGGAGAAAGTGTCTGGATTAACATTTTTCAGCCAACAACTCTGCAAATAGCTCAACCAAAGGAATTCAGTGCACTACACAGAGGGCAGGGGAGTGTCCCTCTTGATGTGATATTTTGCCAGGTTGTGTTTCTCTGAACCAGATGCAAATCTGATCAACTTCTGTAGGTTTCACTGAATACAACTGCATGGAATGCTGTTACTGTTTGCAATGCAACATGATCTAAAAACATTGCATTTCTTCTGATCCAAGGGGACTAGCAGGTTTATTGTGTTTGCATGTGCTTTCCCCCTAGACTCTGGCTGCCCTAACAAGAAATTCAATAAATCTGCTTCCAAACCATCTTGCACAAGCTTTGCATGTCCAGTCTGGGCCTGAGGAAATTAACAAGAGAATAGAACATACCATCGACTTGCGGAGTGGTGATAAATTGAGAAGAGAGCATATCAAGCCTTTCTCACTGATGTTTAAAGACTCCAGCCTGGAGCACAAGGTAGAGCTGGGTCTCCACAGTGGCTCTTTTTCCAGAATGAATTGTTGTAAATGTTCATGGGTGTAGCCAGAGAGCCCAGGGGCTGTGGTTTCAGTTTCTTTCTTTCTGTGTTTGTTTGTGATTTTGTTTGGTTTGGTACTCTTCTTTTCTTTTTCTCTTTGTAAATCATGAGTAGACTGAAAGCCATGAGAGGAGATGCTGGTTAGATAAAGAGAACTTCAGCTTTAAGAAAGAACAAAGACTCCTTTTACTCAGTAAGCATGAAAAGAGTTTCTCCTACTTTGAGATTATTAAGCCAAGTGACATTAACACCCACTTGCCTTTGCTTTTAGGTGAACTCACATCATTTACAGCCACTGTAACATCATAAGTGAGGGCACCTAACATAAGCATTAGTGATAAACATTGTCTTTCTCAGATTTTAGACTGCTACTATTCCACGTTCCCCATTGTCCAAGGCTCAGAACTGCCTTCCTGAAGACAGAGTAGAAAGATGTGTTGTAGATTCAGAATCAGGTTAGAATTTCTCCTGTATCACTTCCCTGCTATGGGACCTTGGATGAGTGTAGTAATCTCTCTGAGCATGAATTTCTCCTCGTACAATGAGGGTGATCTCCACGCAGATGCTTTGATTGGGTGAAGTGTTCAAAAATACTGGCAGCTATCACCACATCCACAATGACTTTTTCCCATGTCCCTCCTCCCGCCCAGCTTCCAATTGTAAATGGGAGTGGGAATGGGGTGCTGTCCATGTTTAACTTGACTGCTCCTTTGCACTGATGGAAGCTGACAGACCTTCCTTGACTGAGCACAGGAGGTGCTTGGCATCTGCAGGAGCTTCGGGCAAGAACAGCAGGGAATTTGCAAGTACATTTCAGCAGTTTGATCCAATATTCTGTAAAGCTCCAGTGAGCAATTTGTGTGTGTGTGTGTGTGTGTGAGTTTACTCAGCTGCCTGGGAGATTGTGGCTTCCTCAGTTTAGGGAGTTCGTCCTTCTGTGCACATGCACAATTCTCAGTAAGTTTCTTTGCCAACTACCTGAAGATTGTAAACTCTAAAATTAATACCCTTACCTGCAATTCCCAATTTGAAAGTTTTTATGTCCACATACAGAGAAAAACATAAGATAAAGAAACATTTTGCCTCACCCTACACACACACCCCCCAAAAAAATAGAAGGTGGACTTTTCTTAGTCAGAATGTAACTAAAAGTTTAAGGTTCAAATTAAATGCATTTTCTTTCCTGGTTACTGCATTGAAGAAGCTAGGACAAAGAGCAGAGTGTCTTTGCAAAATATCTTCTCAATTACTGTGTGTAAATACCTGTGTCCAGAGCTAATACAAAGCCTCTTCATTCATTTTTGCTAAAGATGTGCTTGCTTCACTAATGACCTAACCCCTGCAGACTGTGATGCTTTCGAGTATGTTTTATTTAATTGCATCCTCATCTCATCTGCAGCCTTCTGGTCCTAAAGCAGGAATGGGCCTAGGGGAAGTACAGCACGTCTGAGGTTGATTTCTATGGCCAGGGGTGGTTCCTACAGGAGAGTCAGAGGGCAGCACACTAAATGGACATGGGTCTTCCCAGTGACAATCCAGTCATGGGTCATCCGGCCTGGGCTGTGCATATATGGTTTCCTCAGTAGTGATAGCAATGAGGTGTGCCAGAAAACATGGACTCTCCTCTGGTCACAGAGACATTTCTCATTGCCGCTTGCTTTGGGATCCTCTTTCTAGGGACTGGATTACTGCTGAGTAGACAGCATAGTACAAGTAACATCCATTGGGTGTTTTCCAAGTGCCAGGCACTATTTCTAAGTTGTTTGCACAAATTGATTAACAACAGCAATAGTATGAAGTGGATTATTATGAGCCTTATCTTATACTTGATGAAAGAAGATATGGAGCTATAATTTTGAAACCTGCCCGAAGTGGGATTGCCATCAGAGGGCCTGGGATCCAAGTCTCCTGGGACCCCAAAGCCAACGCTGCTATTGGTTTGCTGCCTGGAGTGAAGACAATCTTTCACTGTCTTCATTCTCTTCTTTTGCACTTTGGATGGGTGGGAGGAATAGGGAAGGGTTTGGATGTAGAGATAAGGTAGGAAAGAGTCCTAGAGCTGTAGTAAAATGGATACAAGACTTTCAAAGTCATAGGATTCCAGCATCAGTGATGAGTATAGCGTGTAGCTACTCGAGGCCTGGTATTACACAGGTCAGTTTATTGCATCCTCGGAGAAGCATCACCATCTCACTTACAAAAGAGAAAACTGAGCCCCAGGGAGGTTACGCAGAGATCGTAGATCTCAAAATCCAACTACCAGATTTCATTGACTCTAAGGGACCATTGATTGTGAAGTGCTCTATTTTCTATGCAGCACTCAGAAAGGAAAATCCCTCAGCATGGCAGTCTAAGAGGAAACACCCACATACAGACATCAATAAGCTGGGTTTACGCCTTCCGAGTAAAAATGGACAGAGAACCCCCTGCCCAGTAGACAAGGGTAGTAAGGAAACCAACATGCCTGTACATTGGTATGACTAAATAAAGGGAAGAAGATCCCCAAGAATTTAAACTCCAAAATGCAATCTACATAGGTTTGCTTCATGAATTCACACTTTGAATGTAGCCTAAAAAAAAAAAAAAAATCAAGCAGAGAATTTAATTTAAAGTGGTCCGGAGTTGTGTTGATATTGCCACCTGGTGACCAGCAGAAGCAATCACAAACCTCTCTCGAAATATTTTAAAGATTCCTCTGATAATAAGGTGCCTTCTGATTTTAGAAATGTTCAAGTGTGCATTTTAAGAAAACTTTCACATGTTAATTAAAAGCTACATCTTAGAATATCTGAAGACTCTTCTCCTCCCACTGCCCTACCCTACTTCTTGGGAGCAGGTTCGGACCTTAAAAGCATGTTTTCTGAAAGGGAAAATGGAAATGGAAACAAAGACTGCACCTTGCAATTTTTATAGGAAGAAAAGTCTTTGTTCTAGATGAATAATCAGAAGATGCATGAATAAGGGAACCTGTTCACCTCTCCACCTTTATGAGTGAATTACAGAACACTGAAATGTTCAAACATTGAAATGAACCAAGCTCCACTGAAAAACCATTCAGACGTCCCCTGGTCACTTTTGCTTATAAGAACTGGCGTATCTACACACTGTGTTGTGTGAAACTGGACTTTTTTCTACCTCATGGTATTGCATAAACATTTGCTGAATGAAAATGGAAATGAATAAGGACTCAGTTAAAGGAGTTTGGGGGAGACTGCCTCACCCCCTGAAGCTGGTCTCGGGATATTTTTAGGAATTCTAAGATCCAAAGGACAAGGGTCACTTTTGCTGTGACTCTTTTCAGTGGGGTTTCAGGGGAGAAAAAATTCTGCACACTCCTTGCCGTGGAGATTCAAAGGTGGTTCACTCCCTCCTCCCCATTCCAGGAGGCTTTTGAGTTATACTTCAGAATAATGTATTCCTAACTCCTATGAGTCAGCCAAATTGGGGCAACATACTTTCCCTTCTTCTAGTTTTTGGAAATGAGGAAATCTGTGACGTGAGGAAGTGAGTGGGACGGCTCCTGACCTCTTCGTCAGTCAGCGCTATGAATCTATTTCCTGTGATGTCGGTAGCCTGTGTCCTGGATTGCCCAGGACAGTCTTGGGCGTCTGCTTTCCTGCTGTCATTATTAGGAGCAATTCCTTTCACTCTCTGAAATCACCCAGTGTAGATGTCATGTGACAAGTCATATGACCCAGGGCTCGGGCTTCCACCAGGTTAGAATTCCTGCTTTTCCATACCTTCACTTCCCAGCAACCTCATGAGGGCTTTTTGAACAGACTCCTGGAGTGGAGGGTGGGGGAGGGGAGGAAGTGCTAATTCAGTCGCCAAAGGTCCTCTTTAGCTCCTCCCAAGTTTCATAGACAAATCCTTTACCCTTCTTTGGTTGGGCTAATTATTTCCCAAGAGGGCGCACAGGTCTCAAGGGGCAAACAAAATTAGAACGAGGGCAAAGAGTTGTAGAAAACATAATATGAAGTTGTCAGATGTGATCAATCATATTGGATTTCTTTCTTGTTAATAAAAACAATACATTTTCACTACTGAAAGTTTATACTAGTGTAGTAGGTCCTAGTTCCACAAACCCAGCTGACCTGGTACTTGGCTGAGCCAGAAAGGTCAACTGAGGCACAGTGTTAATCAAAAGCAAAAGGGAGTGGAAACTGAAAATAAAACTGGAGGGGCCCCGGCAGTGTGGCTAGAGAGAGCAAAAGTCACCTGCGGAAGTCTCAGAGGGACAAAGATTTTATTTAGGAAGAACAAAGAGGAAGTTTAGAGCCCTAGCAGACAGAGTTGGAAGTGAGTCCCTCTCAAGGAGGAGAAAAGGCGAGAAAGACTGAGACGCAAAGGTCTCCAGGGATAAAGATACCATCTCCGCTTGAAATGGGCTGCAGGTCTGTCATTGGCCTCTCTGCACCTCCAGGCCCTTTTGGACGGGTCATTCCTTGTCTTTTTTCTATTTATTGATCCTTGGCTACCTAGGTTACCCACATTCTTATGGGCCCTCCAGACTTCCTGTTTTAGCAGACCGGGTTCTCCTCCTGCCCTCCTTGAAGCCCCTTCCATAGTGTCCCTTCTCACTAAGCATAATAACGCAAAAAGAAGCCAATGAAATCTGCTTGGGTCTTTCAACCCATGATAGCCGTTTTGACATCTGTCATTCTGGTCTTACATGAGTGTGAATGTATAATCTGTGCAATGTTTTATAAAAATTGACCATTTTGTATGTAAGTTTTTGTAACTTAGTATTAAGCATTCTTTGCTTGAACCTTTTCCCCACGTTATTAAACACTGAATTACAAAATAATTTTAGCATCTGCATACTATTCCATTGCATCTTTTAACCATTTGGGCTCTTTTTTCCCTGTTTTTCACTCTTATAAATTACAAATTAGGTCTCAATAGCCAGACTGTTCATTAAATTTTATGTCCATGCTTA